TATTATTTGGAATGCTTTTTGAGAATGATGATAATAAGAAAGTTAGTCGTAAGAGTAGTATAAATGAAGAAGGTGGAGATGATGATGAAGAGGATGATAATAAATTAAAAATTGAATTAGATTTTGATGAAGATAAAAATATTACTGGAAATAGATAAAGAATAGAATCTGTTGAAGAAATTAAAATATATAATTCAGCAAATGAAGCTATAGTAAATTTATAAAATTTAACTGGAAAAAAATTAGCAAGTGAATAATTTAAAACAACTTAAGTTTCTACATGGATAGCTGCTTTAGAAAAAGGTATTTAAGATATTGCATCAAATTAATTGAATTTTTAATAATATTATACTCCATAACCAAATTAGAAAATGGATTGGATCATTTAATTTTAATTTTATGATTTTGAAAAAAAATATAAGGATTTAGGATTTGAAATTCATGGAGATGATTAAGGAGATTTTGCTTAAACTATTAAATAGGATTAATATATAGAAGCCACACATAATCTTATAGAAAAAATTGATACTCAAATTGCTAATCTTAATGTTAAATAATTAGATACATTTACAAGTTTAGTTCGATCTATAGATTTTTTATTCTTTTTTTTTACTAATATAATTTTAGTAAAGAATCCTGAATAATATTTAGAGAGATATTAAGTAAAAATTTAAGAATAAGAAAAATTTAAATAAAAATAAAAAACATTGAAATTATAATAATAACAAAAGAAAGGTAAAATAAAATAACCAAAATAACATAAAGTTGAATTTGATATTTCCCTTTTAGATATTTCTAATGAAGTTAGGTATTTTGATGTAGATACTGAGAAGATATAAAGATAAGGAAGTAGAAAGAAATCTGTATTAAGATCTTTAAAATCAATTAAGACTGTAAATAATTAATAAAATAACTAATCTATTGAAATATAAACAGAACCTAGTAAATTTGCTAAATTTAATGCAGAACATTTGAAATCTATGAATGCTTAATAAATTATAAGTGTATTTAGTAAATTGGTTTGTTTATTTTAAATATGGTAAGAATTAAAATTGAATGAGAAAATTATATTATGGTTTGGTAATGTACTTCATACAAAGAAAAAAGAGAAACAAAATGCTTAGCCTTTTTTTTGTATATATCATAAATTAGCATTTTGGAATGAAGCAGGATGGGATAAAAGAACACTTTAAAAAATTAGTGTATCTGCTGATGATCATAAGAAACTCTATGATGATTATAAGGATTAAAATATAGTACCAGAATTTTAGTTTATTTTATTTTGGGATGTTTTAGGTAATAATTGATTATAATATTTCATTAGGAAAAATGTAAGTAATTAATTAAAAGTCAAATGATAAATAGGATGGAGATGAAGAAGCTGATGAATCTAATTAAACAGATTTCTTACCAATAAGTAGTATTTAAATCTAATTTGTTTAATGTATTATAATAATATAATTAATTATTAGAATTATTAAGAGGTAAAGGTTCAAAAGATCTTTTAGTTTAAGTTGAAAATGCAAATAGTTTAGAAAAGAAAGTAGCAATATTGAAAAGTAATATTGATTTTAATTAAAATAGATTCCCATTTATAGAATGATCATAAAATAATTATTTGGATTTTAATGAATCCAATGGAAAAGATGGAAATGATATTACAATAAGAAAAAAGGTAATAGGTTTAATTTATGATTTTAATGTTATTAGAAGAATTATATGATAATTTCATTATGTTAGAAAAGATAGAGAAGGATTTCTTTAATTAACTAAATTCAAAAATTTATCTTTCATTTCATAATTTTGCTGAATTTAATGCATTATCTACTGCTCTTAATATAAGGAATAAATATACTCAATAATCAGTTAATGATGCAAAAGATTATACTGATTACATATAGTTTTTAGAACTTTAATTGGCTAATTCAAATTAAGCATTAGCTAAATATAGTGATTTCTTAATTAAGGAAGTGAAAAAGGTTAAGAGTAAAGGAGTACTTAAATCTAATTTGGGTAATTTAATAAAAGGTTAAGGATAACCATAATAAAATAAAGATGAATAGAATAATATATAATAATAATAGATAAAACCAGATATTTCTAAGTTAAATTAAAAATAAAAATAAGTAACTATAAGAGAAGATGCAAATACATGATATAATTATAAATTTATAGTTTACTTAATAAAATAATAAAAATATTTTTTGACACATGAAATAAAATCAAATCTTAACAATTTAATCTTCTTTTATTAATTTCTTTTATGAATATATTTCATTAAAATAATTTCTTCCTGGTGTAAATTTTAATTAAGATCCATCTATAAAATTATCTAAATAATGTCCATTTTTATCAAAATTAATATTAGATACTTGTTATTCAAAACTTTACTTACTTTATTTATTTGATTTTTAATTCTTTAAAAATTCTAATATACTATATTAATAACCATCAATATAAAAATCTAAACATATTCTTTTACATACAGGACAAGACCATTTCTTTTAAGTTAATGATTCAATAAATTTACAAAAACTATCTAAACAAAAACATTAAATATGTTCACATAAAATTCCTCTGCATGGAATTTTAATTGGTAATGTTGTAATTTAACATATTAAACTTACTGAAATCTTATTAACTGCAATATCTGCTGATTAATTAAGATTAGAATACATACAAATATTATCTTTCATCTATTAAGTATTTACCCATTTTGATTTATCAAATTAATATTATTAAATTAATTCTGTAGAACTAATCTCTTATACAATAAATGCTCCAAAGTAAAATAATTAATCTGTTTTTATTTAAAAATTCTTTCTATCATTTAAATTACTAGATTGAGAACGTAAAACAATTCGATATTATCCTTATTTTGGATTTTTTACTGTATAATAATCATCTTTTCTATATTTTAAAGAACTATTAACTTTTAATGGTTTAAATTAAACAACTTTAATTCCATTAATCATTAAATCACCAATATCAGGCCAAGATTATTCATATCTATAACCATCTAATCGTATACATCTAATATCTAAAGATTAATTTAATTCAACTGTATTTAATGCAAAATTCATTGTTGTACTCTTTTCTGATTGAGATCTAGTTTCTAAAGTTAGACAAGATAACATGCTTTCTACTTTATGTAATGGATCCATATTCATTAATATACATTATGGACATACAAATGATGGTTGTCCATCTTTTATTTTATATCTTAAACAAGTGTTATGAAATTAAAATCGACACATAAAACAAACTAAAATTATAGCATTTGGAATAGATTTAGGAGTTTTTGTTTTTTAATAGATTGCACAAATACATTTAGAAAAATCATTTTCTTTTATTTGTTATTCCATTTTTTTACATTATATATTTCTCATTTCATCATATATTTTTCTAAAGTGATTGAGAACATTATTATTCACCTTTTCTATTATCTTTTTTACTTACTTAAATTTCTTAATAAACGGAGTATTTATTGGGATAAAGCTTTGTGAAAATGCTACTGCTAATTCATTATTTGATGGTAAAGGTAGATTCTTTGCATAATCTAACAATTAAATAATATATTCCTTTAATGCTTATTGAAGATCTGAGTTTATCATAACTAAATAACATTATAATAATGAATCTTCTGACAATGAATGCTTATGCTTCTCTATTTAAATCTCTATTTAAGTTGTTCTAAACTTTTCTATTTCCTCTTATAGATTTTTAATCATTATTTTGAATTATTTCACTTAAGTCTTCCATTACTAACATAATCAAAAAAAACCTGAAAATTATTTGGACATATGTAAAAATTTATACAAAATAACTTTACTATATATATATATATATTAAATCAACTAAATTTATTTAAAGAACTTAATAAATAGAATTTATAGTATCTATAAATCATTTAGCTAATAAAAATCATGTTTAAATACTTCAAATAGCATTTCTTATTATTGCATTTTCATATGATTCTTTTACCCATTTTAAATATTACTATATTTATTCATTTATATGGACTTTATTTGTATCAACTAAACCTAAACTTCTTCTTTATTATTCATTCATTTAAAAAGGAGCTGGAGTTAGTTATAATATGGATAAATTAGGACTTCTTTGACTTTAATTATAACCATAATATTCCAAATAAATATTTGAGAATTCTTAAAGTACTTTTTTTAATAATTCAGTTTCAAATTAATATTATTCATCATTTGGTATAGTTTTTATAACCTTAATCAATAATGTCTAAGCTATGAAACATTATTATTCAATTTAAATATTAAATTCAGCAATTTTCTTATAAAATATTAATTTTTATACATTTTTCAAATAGATGATCATTTATTTTATTTACATTTAAGTATTCATTTATTCCTTAAATTAAGCAAAGATTTTATGTTAATTTTATTATAATTCCTATATTGTTTTAGTTTAAACATTTTATTCATTATCATTAAATAGATTTTCTCTTTATTCCCTTTAGTATTCCATAATCTTTTATTTATGAGAACTTACAATTTTAGCTATCAATTCTCTAATAAATAGTATTTAACAACTTTTACTTTTTATTTTTTAGAAAATATTTATGTCTAAATGAATAAGAATTCTTATCAATCTTTTATTTATTAAACCCATATTGATTTAATTATCTATTAATGTTTTTAAGATACTTAATACCTAACAAAGCTAAAGAAGTTTGATTATTTGTAATGTACACTCAAAATTGATTTAACTAATAAATCCACATTTACAATTTCAAAGGCATCACCTTCATTGTTCCATCTAATAACATTGATGTTTTCTTCACCCTTTGTCTCATTAAATTAACTACTTCAAGTATTTCAAATAGACTTATTAAAAACTTTGGACCCTTTCTTTAATTCATAAATCTGCAATATTAATATATCAATTAAATAGGTTTGAGTAATACGAGCTTTGATATTTTTATGTAATTTAATAAATTTTGATTGTTGATAATTTTCAAATCGATCTAAATGAAGAAGGAAAAAAAGAAATAAAAATTAAAAAGTTCTTTAGATGAAAGATTTATAGAATTTTATATTTAAGTCAGAGTACTATGCGAACATTATTTAGTCAAATTTAATAGCACCATAATTAATTTTGTTTTGATATTTTCAACAATTTAGGAATTGAGCTTTTTATTATTGAATTATCAAGAGGGATATTTTGAAAGAGGAATCAATTTTTTTACATTTATTAGAGAAATTTCTTTAGCTTCTCGAATAAAATTAAGTTCAAATAATGAATTCAAAGATTTTAGTTACTTAATACCATTATGTATCACATTACTATATTAAATTGTACTGATATATTTATTTATCATATATTTGGGGAAAAATAAAAAATAGTATAGATTGAGTGAATTTTTAAAAACTTAGAATAGATTAATTTAAATTCTTTTAAAAATATTGTCATATTATCATTCATTACTCTATTACATACTTATAATTCCAATGATGGAATTTACATTAGAATCATTATTTCATAATGCATAAAGTTCATCTATTAATATGATACATTTATCATTTTCAATAATTACACTAATATTTGTGATTGCAAATTTCTTAATTTAATTGTTTTGTAATTTAGAATCTATATCAATTACTCCTTTAAATTTATAATTGTTATAAGCAACTTTTAGTAATTATTGGAAATCTTTATTAAATCTAATAATTATTGTTATTGATTAAATGGAGAGTACTAATTTAACTAAATTTTATCTAATTTTTAGTATAACTTTAATAAAATAATCCAGTAATTTTTGGGCTTTAATATGGAGTTATCCAAATTTACATCATAGATAAAAAGTTGAAATTTAATTTAATTTCTTTCAAATAACTATAGCAATCATATTATTTATTAATTAGGTTTCAGAATAAAAATAAGATACATATGATGTATTATTAATATTATTAATATCACCAATATTAAATGAAATGATATATAATTATGAAATTAAATAACATGAATCATTAATGATAACAAATAGTTCTAAAATTACAGCTGATATGTTATAATATAAAATTGGTAATATCATTTATGAATATGGTAATTTATAATCAAATTACTTATAAGAAACAAAAAAGATTACATATATTCATTACATTAAATAAACTCATTTAGATGAATGTGAAGATTCTAAATGTTTATGTAGAAGATAGATTATATCATTTGAAGATGTAATTAACTTATTTCTTAAAGATTAAGTTAAGAATTTTGATATTTTGATATCAAGAACAAAAGATGATTCTGCTAGATAATCATATTTTTTACATTATTTATCTCTAATTAATTATCTAGGATTGAATACTAAAGCATTTTAATAATCTAATTTTTTAGCCTAACTTGATAGTGAATAGATTCAATTTAGTTCATCTGCTACACATGGAGTTAATTATTAATTCAATCATTAATAAAGTGATAGAAAAGAATAAAATAATAGTTCAGATGGTAAAAGTCATTCTATTTAAAAATCTAAATCAGGAGGTGATAAAAGTGGATAAAGTACTACACATATAAGATTAAATAATATGGGATTTATTGCTAGATAAAAACTTAATTTAATTTAAGAATAGATTAAATAATCTATGAGTATGGGATTTTCTAAATAATCTGCTTAAGTTTCTGAAAATTTAGAACATGCTGTTAAATTATTTCTATAATCTGAAGATAATAATAAAAGATTAAGAAAGAAAGTAGTTAAGATGATTAATAGAAAAAGAGAATTTTTCAATAATTTAAATTAATTAAGTAATGAACTTAATATTTTTGAAGCTGGTAAGAAACTTCTTATTTAAATGAATACTCTTGAAGATTAATTATATAAATTATATGATTAATTTCCAAGTTAAAAAATGCAAGCACTTAATACATTTTATTAATCTGAAATAATGAATAATTATTTTTCTGCATATAAATTAGCAACAATAGCTTCAATATCAGATGAAAAATTATTAAAAATGTAATCTTAAACAAATTTTGATTTGTTTTCTAATAAAATAGATTATTTAATAATTGGATTTGATTAATAATCACATAAATTATCAATTAGAAGTGGTTCAAATATGATTCATTAATTTTTTGGTTTATCTTAAGATTCATTTAAAATGATCTCTTTAATTAATTCAATATTACCATAAGGATTTGAAATAGTACATGAAAAATTAGTAGCTAATTTTTTATAACATGGAGTATCAAAATATTTTAGATAAATAAATTTGAATTTTTGTTAATATCAATAAAGGTTTATAAAAACAGTAGATTTTTTTTATGATATTAATTTTATGAATTTAGATGATTTAACATTTGCTTGTTTCCTTTAAAATGTTGAAACTCAAAGTGTTTATCTATTTTCTTTATCAAATCACAAAGTATCAGGAATATCAAAAAACTTTATCAATAAATTAGGTTATAGTAATAAATTAAATAAAGAATTGGCTTAAGCTTTTCAAAAAGTTCCATTAAGTAAAGTATTTCCTAAAATTTCTTTAATACTTGAAGCCAACATCACTAAAGCTTCAGATGTTAATTAAGATATAATTGATGTGACTTAAATAAGTGAATATTCAATGTTAATGTATGTTCCAATAGCTTTACTCTTGGAAAATAATTCAAAAATAAATTGGGAAAATTAGGATCATTTAACTAATTATTAAGTGGATTGTATTTTACATATAAGAAATTTCAAAACTGAATTGAGTTATATTATAATAGAAATTAAAGAAATTAAAAAATAATCCAGAACAGAAAATACAACACCTGAACCATAAATGACATTAGGATATAATTCAAATTAAGAATTTGAAAGTTTTAATGCATATGAGATTGATCAAGAAGATATAGAATATGCAGTAAATATGCCTAAAGCAATTGAATTATATGGTTTAGAAGATTAAACAGCAAATTTAGAAAATTTAGATAATTTGGATCAATTTGATTACAATATAAATAAATTGAGAGTTAATGATAAAAGTTTAAATTAATCATATTAATAACCATATCAAAATTAATCTATGATGAGTCCAAAAGATAGTGGATTAAGATTAATTGAAAATAAAAATCCAGATTTTAATGTAACTTAAATTAAAAGTAAATAATTTGGTAATAAATAATAATTCTTTAAATCTGTTGAATAAATTGAATAAGAAGAGTAATCTTCATCATTTTAATAAAGTAGTGAAATTAAAAAACAATAGATGATAGAAAATTAAGTAGATAAACTATAATATGATGATATAGATTAAGAATTATAAGAAAATATTAGAATGTAAATGTAAATGGATTCAAAAGAATAACGAATTGTTCATATTGATGATATTGGTTCATAAGTAAGTTCAATTGCAGGATTAAAAAAATCAAAATACTCTAAAAAATATGATTTAATTGAAAAATTGATTAATTCAACTAAATTTTCAAAGAAATTTAAAATAATGTTAGTGTTTTAAACACTAATGTTTAGTTTATTTTTAGTCTATAGTGGAGTAATGTTATATTATTCAAATGATGATTTAAATAGATTCTTAGAAGAATTAGATTTAATTTAAATAAAGTCTAATATAATTGGTCCTGTTAATAAGTACATAGTATCTTAGAATTCATTAACAACATATGCTGTTCTATTACTTTTATATCCAAATATTACATTATAAAGTTAAATAGGAAAAATGTAATATTCAATAAAAGATATAAATTATACTTACTTTGAACTTAAAGATAGTTTTACAAAATAGTTATCAAATCCTTATTTAAATCCATTCTTTGAAGATAAGTATTTCAATATTATGGTAGGCAAGTATCCTAATACTAGTAATTATTCTATATCAGCAAGAGAATCAATGTATTTATATTTAGAAGCTTGTTACAATTTTGTCAATATAGATTATCTTAATATCATTAATTTAGATATTACTTAAGGGTTTTTAGTATTTCTATATGCAAATTATTAAACATTTGTAGAATAATTGTAACTATTAAATGAAGAGATGGTAAATTACTCTATAATTAGATCAGGTACTGTATCTGAAAAATGGAATTACCTTCTAATTCCAATAATAGTAGTTTGTTTTTTCTTATTGTTTATAGGTTTTACATTTTATAAAGCTTATTTAAATTAATATGATAATTTTCTTTAACTTTTTAATTTTATAGATGTAGTTTGGTTACAAAGAGATATAGATAGATATAGAGGAATAGCCTCATTATTAATAAAAGATTCAGATGTATTATTTAAATATTAATTTGATATTGATATAAAAGAGAAATTTTTAGCAGCAGAAGATATAAGGAAGGAGAAAATTGCTTAGAATTAAAAAAATAATAAATAAAAATAGAAAGGATAGATTGCTAATTTGAATTAAAAGATGTCAATATTACCTTCACTATCAACATTTACATTTATATTTGGAATTTGTTTTATTTTTTGTTTTATAACAAATTCTTTGGGAAGAAATTATTTTTAAAAGTATCCTGATACAACAACATTTTTTAATTCTCTATCTGATTTATGTATAGCTGTTAGTGGAGTATTTTCTATGAGAGAAGTTACATATTATTAAAAGTTTCCATTAGGTACCATCTTTTATTTTCTTCCTGATAAAAATGCAACATTTTTTGTTCAAAATTTCTTTGATTAAATAGACATTATCAATAATTTCTTATCTCTTATAGTTTAGATGGATAGATCCAAATATATAACATCTGATGATTTCATTTCAGAAATGGATTTAATGATGAGCACAGATGTTTGTTAATTTTTACCAGCTGTAAATTTTTAGATTATTATAATAAGAATAAAATAGAGATGGCTTAAAATCATTGTGATGCTGTTTATTAAGGAGTTTTGCGTAAAGGATTTTAGGCTGCAGGTACAACAATAAGAAATGATTTATTAAATGAATACAATCAAACAAATGGATTTGTTCTTAAAGTATACACACCATAAGAGGAACTTGAGGCTGGTTTAATATTGTATGATACTATTTCAGTTTTGAAATAACAATTTCAAAGTTAATTGAAAAATTCAACAGATGAATTGATTTAACAAATATTGGTAAATTCTTAATTGACATTTTTAGATAATAAATTTAATATTCATAATACTGATGGTGTTGACCATTCTTTTGATTTTCACAAAGATATTGTCATATTTTAAATGGGAATTTAATCTCATGAAACGATTTTTATTGTTGCTACCACAATAATCATTGTTTTTAGATAATCAATTAGATAGGACTATTAGATAAATGGTTGTGAAGGATGATTTAACTTGAGAAATTAAGTATATTTTTGGTTTATTATTAATTAAAGAATTGTAAAATAAATATATTTCTAAATATATATGATGAACATTCAGCAATATCAAAATTACTTCCCTTATGTTAATGAAGCATAAGTACAATTCTAAGGTGAGATTGAATAAGCAAGTAAGATTTTAATATAATATTTTCAGAATAAAACTAAGGTTCAAATTATAATGAGTTTAACTTATTTCAATAGAATTTTTATGCATCTACATTTCCTCCTTATTAATTTGAATTTGTATAAGAACACGAGATTCCAAGTCAAATCAAAAATAAAAAAAATAAAAAACATAAGTAATTAAATTTAATCTCATTGAAAAAGGAATAACGATTAAAAGGGCCTTCTTCCAAAAACATTAGAATCAGATAAATAATTTATTGAGGATTAACAATAAATAATTATTCCACAAGATTAAATGTACAATATTTCCATCATACTTTAGTATTAAACAACCATATCCAGTATTTCATTACACTAAAGGCAACCCAATGCCTAAACTTCAATCAGATATTGTTTCTAATCCACATTAAGATGGCTAAGGTTCTTAGGAAGGTTCTTAATAGACACAAAAATAGAAAGGATAGCATTCTCAAATAAAAAAACCAAAAAAAGAAAATATAAATACTGGTCATTGGTCAACTGATGAACATTCAACCTATATATCCTTTTTATAGTAATATGAAGATATAATGACATCCTCAATGATGAAGAAGACATCAAAAATATTCAAATAAATGAGTGAACTAATTGGTACTAGAACACCAAGTTAATGTAGAAGTCATCATTAAAAATTTAATCCATATGCATTAAGAGGAGAAAATGGAAAACGTTTGCCTAGAGCTGAAAGAAGTAGAGCTGGAAGAAAAAAGAAGAATCCATAAACAGATTTACCTAAAGCAGGTAATAATTAACATATTATTAATAAAGAAGAAGCAAATATCATAGCCAATTATGAAACACATGATCCTTATTATTAATATATGATGTTGGAATAACAGAAATTTTATTATTCTAATCTTTAATAAGAATTTTGGAATCCTTAACATGAAATGGAACATCATCCAAATATTAAAAAAGAAGAAGAAATTGAATTCATGAATAATCCTCATATTTAATAACTACAATAAGAATATGAAGAATGTTTAAAATATAATATACCTTATATTTAAAGAAATGGAATTCAATCAGATTATAATTTCGATGCTAGAAATCAAGCTATAAACGATTTATTAATATGATAATTATGTATAATATATTCAAATCATTTAAATTTTCAACTTCGATGATTTTCATGTCAATTACCTATTTTTATAAAAAATTGCAATCTGTTTTTTATATATATTTCAATTAAAATCCCATTTAAGATCACATGTTGAATTCTTATACAAACAAATAAAGAAAGCGATTTCAAGAGAACAGGACTCGCTACCTTCAATAAGCTTAGCCTGATGAAAGTGTTTCTTCAAATACTGAATTAGAACCTTAATAATAGGATATTCGAGTCAGATTGGAGAGACCTTCAAAAAAGAAGGTTTCAGTTAAGATTCGTAACTTGGACATTGATAGTGATATTATTAAAGAGGAGAATAGTGAGGATTATGCAAGTGAGAAATAATCTAAAGATCAAATCAATCATTAAGAATCTAATGCAGTACTTAACTTAATTCCTGAAGAAGAAATTGACAGTCCTTTCAAAAGTCGAATAAATTAAAATAAAGAAATTCTTTGGAAATCTAGTAATTAAGAAAGTCAAAATGTAGAAGTGTAATTATTTAATACACCTAAACAACAATAAGGAGCAGATTCACCTAAAATTGAAAATGCTATAAAATCTTATAAAAATCTTAATACTATGAACAGTCTTTACTCTCCAGTAAAAGCATCTCAAAAACTCATAATAAATGATGATACAATTTATCAGCATTATAATATATTTTAAAGATTATTCCTTTATCATATATTTTGTTATATGAAACAAATGAAAAAATTCATTGAATCATCCACTTAAAAAATTAGTGTGGCTCATTTACCAAAACAAGCCTATAGAGATTCAATTTAATATAATTTAAAAAGAGTATATGAGTAAATTAAAAAAAATGTAAATATTTTATTGAATATTCTTAGGATTTATATAATTTTAATAATAGAGCTCTCTTTAAATTATTTTTCTGGTAAGACAATAAGTATGTCACAATGATGATAGTAATTCTTGCTATGTTTGAGACTTATTCAAGATTTGTTATGGCAATTCTGACTGAAACCTTGATTTCTGCAATAACAGAAAATGATATGAGTAGTGCCTATTTACAGGCTACTGCTCTAGCAATACTTTCATTGCTTGCCTTAATGAGTAAACATTAATAATAGTATAAAATAAAAACATTATTTAGGTACTTGATAAGTAATTTTGCAACAAAAATAAGGATGGTTTTTATAAATTTAATTTATGATAGAATAATAGAATTAAATTCAACATAAATATCAATTTTAAATGTAGGAAAGATAATGAATCTTGTTAGTAGTGATCTAAATGTAATTGAATATTAATTAGCCTTTATATATTAAGTGGCTGTAATACCAGGATCATTAATATTTACATCAATAATTTTATGGGTATGAAATTTATAAATTTTAGTTAAGATTTGATGGTCCTCTAGGATTGGTTGCTATTATATTTTGTGCCATTTTGTATCCTTTATAAATACTTATTTAGAATATCAATAAGAAATTATTACTTTAAACAAGAAAATTATAAGATCAAAGAATTCAGTAAACAAATACTGTAATTGAAGGTATTAAATATATTAAAATGTATGTATGGGAAACAATATTTGAAAATAAGATCAATGTTATAAGAAAAAAAGAATTTTTCTAATATTTAAATATTCATGTTTTAAATTTATTAGATCGTTCTTTCAATTTTAGTGTACACATATGGGGATCATTTTGTTTTATTTTAATATTATATGCATGTGATACTCATTTAACTATATCAACTATTATGGGAACAATTTAATTAATGTCTATGATCAAATATTATTGCATATTTTAAGTATCCTATGCTTTTTAGGCTCTTATGAATTTCAGTGTAATATTTTCAAGAGTGTCTGAAATACTTAAATAATAATCAAATAACATTACTACAATTGATCAATTTAAAACTACTTTTACTACATATGATATTCAACATTAACCAATGCAATAATTATTAATGGATAGAACTAGAGGACTCAATCGTAAAGGCAGTTTGACTTTGTTATCAACATCTCTAGTTACTATAAATTAATATTCTGGTAGATGGTCAAAGGATGGTACTCCAGTAATTAGTTCAATAAATTTAGATATCAAATCTGGGGAAATAATGGGGATTGTAGGAAAAGTAGGAGCAGGTAAATCTACACTTTTAGCAGCAATACTTTAAGAATTACCATATTATGAAGGAAGTATAATCTAATCAAAAAAGTTGAAACTTGCATATGTTGAACAAGAACCTTTTATTTATACAGGGACTATTAAAGAAAATATTTTATTTGGGAAAGATTATGATTAAGTACTTTACCTTAAAGTATTGGAAGTGAGTTGTTTAGATTAAGATATTTTATCTTTTAGACAAGGAGACAAAACAGAAATAGGTGAAAAAGGAGCTAATCTATCAGGAGGATAAAAGGCAAGATTAAGTTTGGCAAGAGCATTATATTCATAAGCTGATTTATATCTTTTTGATGATCCTCTATCTGCAGTTGATTCAAAAGTAGCTGGGAAAATATTTGATAATGCAATAAAAGATTTTATTTTTAAATTTTAACCTAATTACAGACCTACATTAATTAAGACTCATTAAGCTTTTATATAATAAACACCAGCTGTTATTTTGGCTACACATTAAATTTCATATGCATTAGAATGTGACTATGTTGTAATTATGGATGGAGGTATGATTACTCATTAGGGTTAAAAGAATAAAATGAAAAAACATATTTTGGAAATCACAAGTGCTCATACAAGTAATACAAATGTTGATAATCCAATAAGATCTTTAAAAATTAGAAGACCTAGTAAATTAATGGGTAAGGTAGTCAATTAGATGTAAAAATCAAATAAAGATGAAAGTTAAACTTTATATATAACTGAAGATTAAAATTAATCTGATGCTACATTTGATACTTATAAAAGATATTTTAGTTATTGGAAACCATTTATTTTAATATTTATTATATTATGCTAAAATATAGCAAGTGAAATAATTAATAATTACTATTATAAAGAAATGGCTTCATTTGATGAAGATAGATAACGAGATAATGATTAAATATTTTACAATGCAGCTATTTTAGTACTAGCAGCCTATTTTAATAATATAATAAAATATTTTTTAAATATTTTTGGAGTTCTTACTTCAAATAATACTATTCATAATTAAATGTTAAAAAGATTAATCTTATCACCTATTACTTATTTTGATACTAATCCATCTGGAAGATTAATCAATCGCTTTTCAACTGATTTATCATTAGCAGATACTTAAATATAATAAACAATTACAGATATATTTGAATAAGGATCATAATTTTTAGTATCTCTTGTAACCATAGCTATTCTATAACCATATTTTACATTTGCTGCTATTTTCACAATTATAAGCACAATTTTAATTTTTAGAATAACAAGATCAGTTGTTTCTTAATTAAAGATATGTGATTTAATATAAAGATCTCCTTTATTTGATTAATTTAAAATAACTATTAATGGAGTAACTTAAATAAGAATAAATGAGAATTAATAATGGATTAAGGAAAAATTTATTAAATTATCTAATTAATCCATGTAGGCTAATCTAATATTTTTGTATTCATAAAGATGTTTTGGATTTTATATAGATTTATTTGGTTAATTTGCTAATATATCTGGAATCTTTTTAATTATAGGAATGGTATCTGATCCTACTATTTTCTCTTAAGCATTATTACTCTTATCAACTTTCAATACTTAAGCAGGCACATTAAGATAATTTATGGCATTTGATTCAATGATGAATAGTGTTAATAGAATGTTTGAAATATGTGATTTGGAAATTGAAAAAGAAGAACCAGCAGGTGAATTAGAAATTAAAAATTGGCCAAAGTTTGGTTCTATTGTCTATTCTAATGTTAAAATGTAATATAGAGAGAACACTCCCTTAGTATTAAAGGGAATGAACTTTTAAATAAAAGATAAAGAGAAAGTTGGAATAGTTGGAAGAACTGGAGCTGGTAAATCATCAGTCATTTCAAGTCTTTTTAGATTAAACTCTATTGAGAATAGTGGGTATTTGATATGTTGATATTAATTAGTGTAATCTCAATAGATGATTAAGATATTCGCAAAATTAATTTATACAAGTTAAGAAAAGAAATAAGTATCATACCTCAAGTTCCTTTTCTTTTCAAAGGTACATTGAGAGAGAATCTAGATCCTTTTTAAAATTTTGATGATAAAACATTATTGAATGTTTTATCAGATACAGGATTAGAAGGTTTTATTTAATAGCTACCAAATGGTCTCGAACATTAAATAGAACCTGAATATTTTTCGATTGGTTAGAAATAATTAATCTGTTTAAGTCGGGTTTTATTGAATAAGAAGAAGATTTTGATTTTAGATGAAGCGACTGCAAATGTTGATATGATGACTGACTTTTTAATTTAGTAAATAATTAAAGATAAATTTAATGATTGCACAATATTTACTATTGCACATAGATTAAATACAATAGCAGATTATGATAAAGTTCTAGTTTTAGAAGATGGTAAAGTACTTGAGGAAGGACATCCTTATGAATTATTAGTCCAAAATCGAAAGATTTCAACATATATAAATAGTGACTCTGCATTTGCTAAGATGGTGCTTCAAACAGGACATAAGAATAGTAGCTAAATATATGCAACAGCAAGGAGAAGCTACTTAGAGAAAAATGAAATTTAGAGTAAAAGTAATTGTAATAGTAATATCCTGGATGTATCTCTTAGCAGTATTAATGAATTTCACATTTGATACTGTTTAATAAGATATATTTGATGATATTTATTTATTAAAATTTGTTATCTTCAGAAATAATTCATAATTTTGGATCTAGATACATTCTTTCAATTTCTCCATGCCATTTTTTTTCAACTATTTTTCTTTTCAATTTTAGTGTTGGAGTTAATTCTCCAGTCTCAATTGAAAAATCTCCTTCAATAATTATCCACTTTCTAATTTACTATGCTTTAGATATCACTTATTAATTTGTTTTATCTATCAAAGATTAAATATATTATTTTATAATAGGATCTAATTTTGCTTCTTCAACAGTTGTAGCCTAAGAACCTTGAGCATTAAATTCAGAGATAACTTCTGCTGTTAATTTTCCTTTTCCTTATAAATCTTGCTTTAAAGTTAGTAGTACAGATAAGTACTTTCGATTATCACCAATCACCATGCAATTTGAGACAAATTCAAGATTTTTCTTAATCTCATTTTCAATAAGTATAGGAGCTACATTCTCTCCTCCAGCAGTAATTATCAATTCTTTTATTCTACCAGTAATAATTAGATTTCCTTTCTAATCTATTTTTCCAATATCTCCTGAATGGAGAAATCCACATTCATCTATTGTTTATCTAGTTGAAGCATCATCTTTAAAGTAACCCATAAATATATGTCTCCCTTTATAACAGATTTCTCCATTTCCATCTTTATCAGGATTAAATATTTTCATTTCAGTACCTTCTATAGCTGAACCAGCACTACTCATAAAGAAACTATCAAATTATGAGAAATTCTCTGGAAAAGATAGTGTCTAAACACCTCCACATTCACTCATTCCATATGCATTGATTAAATACCTAAAGTAATCCATTCAATTTTACATATTTAATGATAAGAAATATTCTCTTATTTCAGGACTCAAAGGAGCTGCACCAAATAGTAAGTATGCTGCTTTATCTAATCCTAATGCTTTTTTCACCTATAAATAAACTATTTTTTCAGCTAAACCAAAACAAGTAGGGGGATCTTAATCATGAGTTTATGCAAAGGTACCAATTTTACCTATAGATTTAGCCCATTTGGCTATCATTGTCTTAATTATTCCATTTGATTTAGCTACTTTTTGCATCTCTTCATAGATTTTCTCCCAAACTCTTGGTACACCCAAAAAAAATGTAGGTCTTACTTCTTTTAGTGTATTTATTAAAGAACCCTATAATGCATCTGGATTTGCAAAAAACAAGTGACCACCCCATCTAAATATACCAATCAAATCTACTAATTATGCTGCTACATGACTTAAAGGTAGATAACTTACTATTCTATATCCATCATCAATTTTATATTTTTTAAGATGTTATGCAACAATAAACATATAATTGTCATGAGAAAGCATGACTCCTTTAGGATTACCTGTTGTTCCAGAAGTATAAATTAAAGTACAACAATTTCCAGGTTACAATTAGTTGGTTCTTTAGTTAATCAAATCAAGATTTTTAGATTTTTTTCCTATTTATATAAAATCATCCCAATTATAGACTTTCCTATTAGGAGGAATATATTTTATATGATGTACATTATCATTATAGAGTACAATAGCTTTCAATTTAGGTAATCGATCCCAAATAGAAAGATACTTATTTAATTATTCTCTAGTATCTGCCACAAGTAATTCACATTCAGAATGTTCACTTACATAAAGACATGCTTCTGGATTATTTGTTGTATAAATTCCAACAGGAAGATTATGAGCATGTATACTACCCATAAAAGCAATATTCCATTCAGGGGCATTAAAACCAATTATATTTACTGCGCTTAATTTAGTTATGTTTAATTCAATTAATGCTGAAGCAAAATCAAGAACTGTACTATAATATTCTCCGTAACTCATTGTTTACCATATCTTATTACGTTTAACAGAAAGAGCAGGTAAATTAATGAATTAAGTGCAATCTTATTTGAATGCTTCAGGGATTGTAATAGGTTTTGGGTCATCCATACCTCGAATAGGTAGTTCATGTGTAAAGTCTGTGGTCCAGTCTATATGTTTTCTTGGATCTTATTAATCATAAGAATTTAAGATTCTATAAAATCCTTTTTCAGAGATTTACATTTATAATAATAATGAATGAGTAATTACGATTTCTTAAACTTGAAGAATCTATTGAATAACTGAGCAAATCATTTATACCTCATCTTGATTAGATTTCTTAGATGTAATAAAAATTATCAGCTTTGGATGTTTTTATAACCAATAATCCAAGAGTTGATTTGATAAGTGATACCATTTAACTTCTAAATTCTTAATTAAAGATTTAAGAAAGATTGAGTTCAATTGAATCATAACATTCTAAATTCAGTAGTCATTATGATGAAATTCTTAATAGACATTCTGTTTACATAATGTAAATTCAACCTTGGATTGATGAAATGCATAGGTAATAATTTAATGAAATATTTTTTTTATAGTATTTTAGAGGAAGCCAAACAAAATAGAGATATGAATAATCAATTGAGAATAAATTTCAAAGAAATGAATTAAAAACATAAAGAATATACTGGAATACTGTTGTAAAATGATAGATTAACTTAAAATTATAAGACTCGTCTTGATTAATTTGAAACATAATTGGCTTCTAAAATAGATCATTCAGAAATAACTAAAGTATAAGATTTAATGAGAAGAGATTTTGTAACTTGTATTGAATTAGATAATATCAAGAATTAGATTCAGTAAAGAATAGATAGATTGTAAGGAGAAATGTGTACTAAATAATAATTAGGAATTGTTTAAGATAATATATAATTTATTAAAGATAGATAAGTGTTAGTCTTAAGTGAATTAGTTGATAAGAAAGTTGAAGATCTTGCTAATAATAAATTAAAAGTATATGCAACAAAAAATGATTAAAGAGTCTTTGAAGATAGAGTAAATTAAGTATGTAAGATTTTATCAGAGAAAATATTGATGATATAAAAAGAAACAACAGAAGAACATAAGTTAATGTAAGAATAAGTTAAAGAGTAGAATTAATAATAAAATGATTTAAAATCATAATTACATATTATTAATTCTACTTTTTAAAAAGTTGTTATGAAAGATGAATTATAAATAGCAATGTAAAAAACTTTACGATTACAAAGAGAATCTGAATATTTAAATGAAAAATTAGAATCAATAAGTGCTGAAATATTTGAATAGAAAGTTTCATTTCAATAATTTAATAAATAGAAGAATTTAGAAATATAAACTTTGTAACATTAATTAATTCAAAAAGAAGGTGAAAGTGTTACTTATTGTGAAAGTCCAAAAAGAGCTGAAATTTCTTAAGAGGAAATGGAAAGTTCTCAATCATCTCCTAGGAAAAAGATTAGAAAATCAGCAATTCTATCAAGATAAGGATCTATTCTAAATTCTGATATGATGTAGAGAATATTTTAAAGATCAGATGCTAGAATTTAGGAATTATAAAATTAATTAGATGAAATTAGATAAAGATTACCTAAAGCAAGTAAATTTTAAGAGAATGTTACATAACCAGTTTCAGATACAATAAATATTAGAATGGAATATTTTAATTAGATGATAATTCAATTATTAGAAGAAACAAAAAAGTTTAAAACTTAACATGAACTTTTAAATTAATAAATAATAGCTATAAATAATAAACCTTAAATAAAGGAAGAAACTCTTTAATAAATTGATGAAAAATTAAAATTCATTTAAGAATTAGAATTTAAACTTGATTAAAAATGTGATTCATCTTTAGTAATACCTATTTTAGATTCAAAAGCTAATGCTTAAGAATTTATGGAGACAAAATTATTATCTAAATAATTGAAATAATGTATACTAGATACTATAAATAGTCTAAGAACCTTTTTTACTTCAGATTAAAATGATTAAATAAAGGATTTACTTATCAATTAATTAAGTCGATATCTATGTTATTTTGTTAGATAAATTGAAGGTAATTAATTAATATAAAGTGATTCTTAATAAAATCCATAATCTACAAAGTATTTATAACCAAAATACACAGCTTAAAGAACAAAGTCATATTCATCATGTTCAAAAAGAAGAGAAACTGATTGTGAAATAAGAGGAAGAGCTGTTAATCGTAATATTACAGAGACTGCTGTATATAATTCATTGAGAACGTCTCCATTAGCATTTCGTTTAGTAAATTAAAATAAATAAAGTGCAACAATAGTGAAAAGAATGAAAGTATAATAATGATTTATATTTTACTTACTCAATTTAATTTAAAATATGATACATAATTATATTATTACATATGTACAGATAACTTAATTTGTAGTAGTTCTTCTGATTCAAATTTAACTGCTAATGATCCTAAATAATAATTAATAAATATATATAAACCTTATAATTTATCACCTTTATTTACAGGTATTTCTTCTCTAAAATATAAAATAACAGGTTTCCAAAATGGAGATTTAGTTGGACCCATAATAACATGAATTGGTAAATGAGTATAAGTGAATGAATATTTCATCCATACTATTATACCAGTTGCATAATCTTATCTCTTGATCTTTATTTAGTATTAATTACTAAAACTAAGATCTTCTAATTAACAATTTTGTAAATTAATCTCATAAATTAATTATTCATCACTATTTAATTATTCTTCTTTAATGCTTTCAAGAAGTGGTTCTTTTGCAATCCATTATTTCATCCATTTCATATTTACTCCATAAACAGAATCCCTACAAAATTAATAATTAATAATACCAAAAATTAATCTTCATTTTCTTATATTAACTATCTTCAATTGATTATATATATAATTATCCTTTATCAGGCATAATAAATCCATCTTTATTTAAATATTTATCTCTTGCATAGATTACATCTTATATACATCCACCATAAATTAACATATTTCCCATCCAATCAGCAATAATAATATCTATTTTGCAATTTAATTCAACTTCTCTTATTTTCTCTTTATATAATGTAATATTCTATATATTATTCTATTTAATTATTTCACTAGCATAATTATTTGCTTTCATAGCTATAACTTATTTGGCTCCAGATTATGAAGCCAAAATACTAAGTAATCCCATACCTGAATTAAGATCTAATACAATTTTATCTTTAAATAAATGTTTATTTCTTGTAATTGCTTTAACAAATGGTTCAATACGATTACGATCATTATAAATTTCTTCATCATTTAAATTATCCATGAATATTTTAATAATAATAATAATATTTCTTATTGATATCTATTTTAATATAACTATTCATTATGTGAAATCAATTCTTGATATTAAAAATATATTTGATTCTTGAATTTATTTAAGATGAATTATTATATTATCACATTAATGTTTTAATTTGCTCAGTTAATTTATCTGTTGATTTTTTTTAAGGTATAATACCATTTTCCATTAAAAAGCATTCTATTCCTTCTACTGAATATTCCTTAAGAAATTCAACAATTGGAAATACTCCTTCTTATTTAAATTTCTCTAATTTATCAATATTATAATTTTATGGTAACCATAATAATCCTTATGGTAATCTTGATAGATCAATATTTCTACAATATTGAAAATGTTGATTTGTATTAACAAGAACAAAATGTACTTAACTAATAAAATATTAAATTTGTACTTAAATTTATTTGATGCTTTAATGAATGCAGTTCTATAGATATCAAAATAGGGTTCTCCAGGTGGATAGATTAATTAAAATACTGGTTTAGTTTATAATAGATTATAGATTTCTTCATCTTATCCATTAAATTAATAAAGTGTAGATGTATCTAATTTTTCAGATTGATTGATTCCCAAATTGTATCCAGCATATCCAGAGAATAACATTACAAAGAATCCAATTCGATTTTTCACTTTTCTTTGTCCATAGGCAATATCATATAAATATTTCTTGAGTGTAAACATAAATTAAATTAATCACAATGGTAGTAAAAGCTTAGATTTAAGTATAGACACATTTTCTATATCATTTAATAATAATCCTGTAAGAAGGAGTAATCCAAAACTTAATAACATATTCAATACTATTAATAAAATTGCAAATATGCTTAAATCTAAATAGCTTAAAGTAAAAATTTCAATTATAATTCCAAAGGTCACTAAAATTAGAATGTAAATCAATGTATATTTGTGTTTCAACATTATTGAAAATAATATAATCATAATGTAAGTAACACTAATATCAGGAGTGATGAAATTAATCATCATTGAAATTACCTATCATTTATGATTAGACAAAATACTGCTATTATTGTTGCTAATATATCTATTCTAGCCATAATAGGATATGAATACAATTTCCTTTCTGGTTCAATTACTATCTTTTTGAATCCAAGAGCAGATGAAGTATTTCTAAAAGCTGTAGCTTAAAGTGATGGAGGTTAGAGAGTACTTTTATCAGGAATATTTTAAAATATTTCAGTATTTAAATGTGATCTATTTATGTATTTAGGTTAGATGTTGGCATCTCTAAAAAAGGGTTTGCTTAATTCATGTAATTAAGATTACAGAAGAAATAATTCTTCTTAACATAATTAAGTTTGATTATCTAGAAACTACATTTTCTCATCAATTAATTCTTTATAATTGTTACCAATACTCAACATACATTATAATTAAATTAATGTATGAAAATTAACATTAACATTTTACATTTATAATTCTGCCTCCTTCATTTCATTCATAGGTAAAGCTTCACAAGGTAATTACAAACTTGCAATAATATTATGATTTTCTAATAATTCAACTTTTAAATCTGCAATAAGAGATTTCACTGGAATTTAAACATCTAAACTCCATTCAAACCAACCATCCTTCCTTGTCTGTATCTCACTTTCATGTATGAATTCTCCAATTAAAACAACTATATAAGGTCTTTATACATAAGATTCTTGTATTCTTATATAGCTAATGTGAAGATTTGTTATTTTTCCATAAGGTTTTATTTATTTTAGATAGGCTTTCTACTCTTCCATATACATTTCTCTATTCATTGCATTATTGTATTTATTTATGATAATATCATTTGCTTCATAGATTACATGACCTAATGTTTATATTGTTAAGGAAGTATTATAAGAAGCAACTCTCTCAAATAATTCAACAGCAATTTCATAATTAAATTCTTAATGTCCATTTTACATACTCATCTAATTTAACATTTTAGTAGCTTCTATTTGATTGATTTCTTCGTCTTAACTTTTATGACAAAATTCCATTAGATGCTAAACTATTTAATCATAACTTAAAACTTTTTCCATTCAAATTAATTTATATTTTGTAAATATTAAAATTAACAATAAAAACAATTTTATTTGGCATTAATAAAAAATAAGTATTACAATTTACAAGACTCCTTATAAATTAAATATCTTTCTATGAAATTCTTTCTAAAAACTTAATTATTATGTATTTTCTCTACATTTTCAAAATTAAGAATTAAATCAATCTTAAGTATTTTACATTCTACTTATTTTTATTTGTTTGTCATTTTATTATTATTATTTTTTATAATATTCTTTAATCTGATTTTAAATCATACAAATATACATTATACTAAATAAAATTCCCATTTCTTAAATTGATTCATAATAAAAATGATAAAAAATTTAATTGAAAATGCCAAATTAACAGCATAAAAAGTGATGACAAAAGAATAGTAACATAAACAATAATAAATTGAATCCTTTCCTACTTTTGACTAATTAGCTTTTAAAAATTATAATATTCCAAAAGAAAATTTATGGTAATACTCTATTGAAGATTTTTCTAATATTCTTCATTAAATGGAAGATTATATAATTAGACTTTAAAGAGGATATGATGATGTTTGTTAATAATTTTTACCTATGTTTAATAAATTTGAAATGCTTGAAAAAGAAAGGAAAAGAATGGCTTAAGAATTATCAGAAAAAGAGAATCATTGTAAAGAATTAGAACAAGCCATGATAGAAATGTAGGCTGATGCTGATAATGAATTAAGAAAGAAAGAAATTATTGAATGCGAATTAGAATAATCTAAAAAAGAATTATAAACTATTTAAGGATAAATAAACTGGAATAATAATTAAATAGATGATAAAGAGTTATAAGAAATTAATGCTGCATTTATTGATCTAGATAAAAGTAATGATGAATAATATAAATAAAGAATAGAAGCATTATAAAAAGAAATATAAGAATATATATAATTAAATAAGGATTAACTTCATAAAATAAACTTATAAGTCTAAGAAATTGATAAATAGAGTTAAGAAATTAGATAAATTAATAGGAATTATAATATGGTATTATAATAATTAGCAGATTAATAATCAAAGAGTAGATAGGAAATTGAATCAAAATAATAATAAATCAATTTACTTATAAAAGAAAACAATAAATTAATCAACTAATTATAATAATTAGATTAACAAAGAACTATTGAATTATAAATATAATTAGAAAATACTAAATAAAAAGAAGAAATCTAAGATTTAAGGAAAATTATTATAAAAAAAGGAGAAGAAATAAAAGCACTTAATGATTAAATTTTAATTGAAAAATAGTAATAATAATAATTAAACGATTTAATTAAAGTATTAAAAGGGAAACGAGATGTAGCTATAAGTGAAATCACTTAAATGTAATCTAAATAATAAATTGATAATTCATAATCTATTACTTAACAGAAACTAAAATAAATTAGATTTTAAATTCAGAATAAACTTATATAAATGAGAAAAGAATTCGAAAACATGTATAAATAATATTTAACATTAATTTGTAAACTTGAAGATAATAAACTTTCAAATGACTTAATGAAATTAGAATCAACTATTAATAAAATAGTAATAGATATGTAAGATTTAGTTGATGAAGTTGAAGATTTAATGAGTTGATTTTATTAATAAATTAAATGTTGTTTTATTTTTCAAATTTAAAAGTATTTATACTATTTCTAGTCTATAAAAAGTAATCTTAGGATATTAAATAATATTTTATCTCTGTCTGTATTAAACAATCAGTGTTATTTTTATAAATAGAATATATATATATAATTTAAGACTATGTTTTTACTTCTAAATGAAAATTAAAAAAAAGTATATTTTAATCTTTTCTTTTCTATCATTATATTTAATCAAAAAGATAGAATTACTTGAGTTAAAATAGATATATTGTAAAATTATTTTGAAATTCAAATTATAAAGTATTTTTTCAACATTTTAATATAAATATTTATCTATTTTTAAAATACTAATCAATAGATTTAATATTTATGAAAGATATTATTATTAAAAATCGAATAAGTCATATAACAAACATTATAATCAAACTGTATATAATTTTATTTCAATATTTTTGTTCCTTTTTTTATGTATTTATACATGTATTTCTACTTGAGATACTTGAGAATGGCTTCAAATAACAAATTTAAAGCATTCTTTTTGTTAAATTTCTAGCAGTCTATACTTATTACTCTAATTTATAATTTTAATTAGATTTGCCTCTTCTTGGACTACTGTTTTTGGAAGAATAATCAAAAGTTTCTAGGTTTGGAGCTGATGATCTTAAAGAAATTGGCTTTAGAATTAATTATGTTTATTCTGTTTAGAGATTAGTGATTTTTTTTTGAGGTGATTCATAAAGATATGGTTTCAAATTTATTAGAGGAGGAGACACTAATTTTTAGTTTTGTTTATATTTCTTTGATAATGGACTCTCTATTTTCTATTATTACTTTTTAGAACTAATATCAGGAATTGAGAGTAATGTAGTTGTGGATTTTAATGATTTTGTTGAAATAGTTAATAATGATTACTATTGCTATTATAGAATTAAGCTTGACCATAATTCTTTGGAAGATTGTTCTTATTTTTAATATACATTATGGAATTTTTTCATCTTTGTTGATCTTTTACCACATTCATAACAGGTACAGCTTAATCTTCTTTATCGAGAATCATCAATCTCAAACATTTTTTCCTTGAAGTTTTTATTTTTTTACTACTTATTTTAGTTTCTCATCACTTAATCAATAAGCACTGTCTTATGATAAAAGAGTAATCTTCTTTAAATTTCCTTGCCTTCTGTTTTTACAATTGATGCTTGAGAAACTCTATGTTTTGGTACTTCTACGAAATCAAAATATTGTGATGCATTTAAACTTCGAGCTAGAATGATAATATTAATAAATTACATCTCTATTTTTTTACTTTAAGAGAACCCTAACTAAATTTATTAGATTTCATTAGAAGAATCTAATTTATAATATAATTATTATTTCAATAAGATGGATATAGGTAAAAGGAAAAAGTCATTTAAATTTCATGTTAAATCAGCTAGCACATCTAATATGTTTGCAAGTCCATAATCAACAAATACTCCTGTTACTGGAAGGTCTGTTGCATAATTTGTTTCTATACCCTTTCTTTCATTTAAATAATGTGAGATGAAGAAGTACATATTAAACGAAGAGAAGGAATATCTCAAAAGAAAGCAGATCATAGAATCAGGTTATTTAACATAGAGAGGTATGTCAAAGTTTTTAAAACCTAATCGTAATTACATAATTATTTATTTAGGATTGAAATGGCAAAAAAATGACTTAAAAATTCATGATACCATTTTAAAAACTAAATTAAATATAGCAGATATTATTTTAAATGCTAAAGGAGGATAATCTCGTAGAGAATTTTTAATTGAAAAAATACAGAATTAAATTGAAAGTCCTTAATAAATTATTAGTCAAAGAACTATTAAAAGTGAACATACAGTTTAAATATTTATGGATCGATTGAAATTTTAATCAATGCCATAAAAACTAAAAGGAGAATCTTAATCCCCTTCAAGGTCAATTTAATCTTAAAAGTTTATCTTCAATTCTTCAACAACCTATTAAACAGAATGATTATATAATATGAATAATAATTTGTAATGAATACTAAATTTAGTAAATGTTGATTTACTAAATTTATTCAATTTTTAAATTACAAGTATTCTATATATCAAATTTAATTAAATATTTCTATTATATCTATCAAAATATATAAATACTATTGATAATAATAACTCCACCTAAAACAATAAAATAAATATATTCATTTTTATTTGAATTCATAATCGATGTCTTAACTTTTATAACTAATCTATAACTCCATAATATTTTACTTCATAAATAATATTTATCTTCATTTTTCTTTAGAATACATATATTTTAGACTTCTTTACTTATAAATTTTTATGAAGTATATTATCATTATAGCATTTATATTAACATAATTATAAGTTATTCTTTTAAAATTTACATATTAGTAAAATTTTATTTATAGAAACAATCTTATAAAATTAATTTATGGAGAGACAAGTTTTCCATAATTAAAAATTCATATAACACTTCTATACAAAATTTTTATAATTATTTAAATGAAATTTTTAACTCTGAGTTTGTTATATTTAATAGTTCAATGCTAACCAAACTAACATTAAAGTGATAGCAATGATCATGTGTCCGATTAACACTCTTATAACGACGAATATTAATTTTACCCAATCGAATAAAATAATCCAATAGATCTTGAATAATTAGTTTACACAATCCTAATATTCTTAGGAATATTTATTATTTATCGATCAAGAATATTTAAATCTAAAAATCAAACAAATATTAATAGGAATAGTAACGAATTTAATTTAGATGAATTGAAATAAAGATTGGATAGCATAACCTAAAAATTGCAAAAAGAAAATATGAATTTGAGTTACAGCTTTAATTAATAATGGGTAGAATAGAAAGTGAAAGAAGTTTCAGTTTAATAACATTTTGATAGATTAAATTTCCATCTTAAAGGTTCAGATTGTTATGGATCTTGGGTCTAGATAGGTGTTATTCATATTAGTCAAAATAATCAAATTGAAACATTTTCTAGAAAAATGTACGATGATTCTTCAATAAATGGTGGGGATGTATTGATTTATTAAGGATAATTTGATGATTAAGTTTTATCATGTAAAGGATATTGGTACTATCTTGAAAGTAAGGAAAAAGGAGAATGGTTGTTAAAATTTATATGATGATGAATTTCATATTTTTTTTTTAACATATAATTATATTTATATAAATAAAAAACTTTGATATATAAGAATGCAAAATAGTTAAATAATTTATTTGGATTATCTATATTCTAATATTAAATTGAAATAAAATTCTTTTGAATTGCAAAGTTGTATCTATTAAATCAAGAGTTTCATATAGTATTATTAATTTTAATGTATAACTATAGGATCTATCGTATAGTGGTTAGTACCTGAGGCTTTAACCCTCAAGACCTTGGTTCGAATCCAAGTAGGTCCTTTTTTTCCATACTTTTTATATTAAATTTTTTTCAATTCTACATTATAATTTATTAAAAAGCAAATAAACTCATTAGTATTAAATTAAATTTTAATTTCTTAGAATGAAAGAACAGTTAAGAAATCTTCTTCAGTATTCATTTGAATTTAAAGATAAATTTCTATTAATATTTATCTGAATAGATGTAATTACATAGAGGATTAAAATTAAAGAGGTTTTATGAAAATCAAATTACTATTTTTATATCAAATTTTTAATAGTTTGAATTAATATCTTTACTTAGTAATGAAATATTAACCAGAAGGGGATTTAATGATATTATTAATGAAAAAAGACATCTTTACTGAGTAGGAATCACAATTTCATATGACAGAATCAATAATGTATAATATAAATAAATAAATGTATAACAGTAGATTCTCTTTATAAATTAAAATATAAACATAGAGATTTAAAACAAATAATATTTTATTATAAGCAGATGGACATATTATATTGTCAAGAAGAACTAGATTAGATGAAAGAATTAGTGTCCATAAACCAGAAGGTAAAGGAGATAACACACTAATTTCAAGAGAGATAGAATTAAGGCTATTAATTAGTCCATAAAATAAAAAAAGTGCTATTACTCCTTGATAGAAACCTATAAGTGAATATCAAAACCCAGCTTTGGCTTAACTTTATAAATAATTTGAAATGTAAAAATACACTAATAATACATAAAGAATCTTACCAAAATCATAAATTTAAATGGTTTAAATTAATAATTTATATAAAAAATGATTAATAATAACAATATCAAATAAATAATGATCAATTCTTATTTAAAAATAATTATTATTTTGATTTTTAACTAAATTCTAAATTTGAGTTATCAAATTACATTAGGATAATAACAATAAAGAATAAGTCTAATCAAAATTCTAGATATTCAAAGTGTTTGATTCTCATTTTAGTTAAATTCTTAAATAAGTTTGATTGTAAAAAGGTTTTGAAAAAAAACAAGGAAAAAAAATTAAAGAGGAATCTTCTTCAATTTATTGTTCCACTTTATATACTAATGTTTAATCAATATATATTTGCATTAATATACATAATTCAAGAATTACTATGATCTCAGTTCATTCTATCAAAAAAGGAAAAGAAATTCAACCCTATCTTTGATTTTATAGATAACACTAAAGAACTTTCCCTTTTTGTTATTCCTATGTAATATACTATTGTTTAGATTATCGTTTATGTATAGGAATACATAATTGTAGTACTTTCGTTTAGGTTATAAAATTAATATTTATTTATTAAATGTTTTTTGGATATAATTCAGCTCCTAATTCTAACATTTCTTAAACTTAGAGCATTCTTCATGAATCACAAGTACTTTCATTATAGAGGGAAAGTGAGAATTACATTAGAAAAGTGGAGTAAGACAAAAAACATCATTACAATATTGAGGAAACTTGGGTGTCAACTAAAAAGGAATGGTAATAAAAAAAAGAATAAATAAAAAAAGTATAAATGTTAATTATTATTATAGATATAACATGATTA